TAACAATAATAAGAATAATAACTTTGTAAAATAATAAGCAATGATATTACTGATAGCAATGATATCAGTAATAATAATAATAACAATAATGACTATAATAAGAAAGATAGCAATAATAACAATAACAGACATAATAACAATAATAACAGTAATAACAAAAATAATAACAATAATGACAATAATATCATTATTAACAATATTAGCAACAATAATAATAATAATCAGAATAATAAGACTAATAACAATGATATCATTAATAACAATAATAACAGTAATAACAATAATAGGAATAAAAACAATCATATCAATAGTAACAATAATAACAATAATAAGAATTTGACAATAATAACAATAAAAACAATATTAAAAATTAAAACAATAATAACAATAATAACAATAATAACAGTAATAACGATAATAATAATAAATACAATAATAACAATATTATCAATAATAAAAATAATAACCATAATAACTATAATAACATTTATAACTATATTAACAATAATAGTAATAATAACAATTATAAAAATAGTAGAGTTACAGCAATAATATTAACAATACCAATGATAACAATAATAACGAAAATAACAACAATGACACTAATAACAATAATGATAGTAATAACAATAATAACATTAATAGCAATGATATCAATAATAACAATGATAACAATAATAACAATGTTAACTATAATAACAATAACAAGACTAACAATAATAACTATAATAAAATTAATATCAATAATAACAATAATATCAATAATAACAATAATGAAGATATTAACAATAATAAAAATAATGACAATAACAATCATATCAATGATAACAATAATAATAATAATAACAATAATATCGGTGATAACAATTATAACAATAATAATTATAGGAACAGTAATAACAGCGACAACATTAGTTACAATGATAACAATAATAACATTAATAACAATAATAATAATAATAACAATGATAACAGTAATAACAATAACAATGCAAACAATAATAAATATAATAAAAATAATAACAATAATACCATAATATTAATAATAAAAATAATAACAATAATAGTACTTATAACAGTACTAACAATATTAACAGTAATATCAATAATAACCATGTTAAAAATAATAGCAATAGTAACAATGATAACAATGATAATAATAATAACAATAACCATAATAACAATAGTAAAATAATTACAATAGTGAAGTAATAAGAATTATAACAAATATGACAATAACAAAAATAATAACAATAATGACAATAAAAACAATAATAACAATAATAACAATAATAACGATGATAATTATAATAACAATAATAGTAATAATAACAATAATAACAATAATAAAAATTACAACATTAATAACAATAACAATAATAACAATAATAATAGTAAGTACAATAATAACAATATTAACAATAATACAATATTAACAATTACACCAATAATGACAATAATAACAACAATAATAATAATAAAAATAATAACAACAATAACAATAATAACATTACTAACAATAATAACAATACTAACAATAATAAAAATTACAATAATAGCAATAATAATAATAACAATTCAAACAATTATAACAATTATAACAGAAACAATAATAATAATAACAATATCAAAAATAACATTAACATCAATAACAATAATAACAATAACAACAATAACAATAATAACAATAACAATAATTTTTTCTTTTGATGGTCTGAGAATGCCAAACTTTACGCACTAACCCAGGAACCCTGCCCGCAAGAGGGACCTTTCACCATCTGGGTCCCTCTTAAAGTCCCTGGAGTGTCGGGCTCACCGTTGGAATAGGCACTACCGACTAAACTTATATCCATCCTAATGGCATAGTAAAACCATCCCGGCACCGCCATGTGGCATTACTTCAGGATGGCGCCACTGCTTCTTGTCCCTTAACTGGGCTCCCTCTTCGGCTCTACGTGGCAGGAATCAGGAGCAACGTTTGGTGGCTCTTATATGGGCCACCCATGTCCTTCTTCTTCTTGCTTAAGATTGACCTGACGTACCAGGCCAACTTATTCCGCTCCTTCTGCCCACGTAGCATTTTCTCGACGACGTTGTCCGGCGAGATGACTCTGAGGTCTTGTTCCAAGGCTAGTCGTTCTGCGCTCCACCGAGTACATAAAAAAAACGTGTGGTGGGCGTCGTCGTTGATCGAGTCCCCATAGGGGCAGTTGGCGTCTGCTACCTTCCTCATTCTAGCCAGGTAGGAGCGGAACAGGCCATGCCCTGTCAGGAATTGGGTGAGGTAGAAATCGACTTCTCCCGCCTCCCGATTTATCCAGTTGTCTAGCTGACTGATGAGTCGAGCAGTCCATCTGCCCCTACGTTCCTGCTCCCATCTACTTTGCTAGGGCTTGATGCTGATAGACCTGGCGAGCCTTGATGCCTTCTTCTTTCCCACAATACACCTTTGCTGGTGGACGAATTTCCTCTCCTGGGCTAATAGATCGATCGGGATTATCCCGGCGACCATCAGCTCCGCGGGCTCAGAGACCGTGCGGTTTGAGCACGAGATTCGGAGAGCACTCCTCCTCTGTACGGCGGCTATGCGCTTGTCATATTTCTCCTTTTCAGCACCTCGGCCCAGACTTCAGCGCCGTACAGCATCATTGCTTCGGCGGCAGGCATCAGTAGTCGCCTCCTGCACGGACGGGGACCGTTGACATTGGCCATGAACATGCTCAGTGAGGCTACTACTTTTGCCGCCATGTCGGCTACCCTGATAATATGCTCTCCATAGTTAAGCTTGTTGTCAAGCAGAACCCCGAGATATTTGACAGCCTACTTAGTCTGGACCGCCGTGTCTCCTACAATGAAGCTGCGCAAGGTGTTGATGTGCTTCCTTGTAATTAGCACGATCTCTGTCTTCTGGCCTGCTGGAGATAACCTGTGGTCTTCCATCCAGGAGGTAACTCTCCGCATGACCTGGTTGAGCAGCAACTGTGCCCCCTCCGTGTCTCTTGCGGTTATGACAATTGCAATGTCATCTGCATATCCAACCAAGAAAGTACCATCTGGGACTACCATACGAAAAATACCGTCGTAGAATATATTCCATATATCCGGTCCCAGTATGGAACCCTGGGCTGCCCCCGATGACAAATTCCAAGCTTCTTGGACAATCACTCGTGTCGTATACTAGGAAGCGCTCGATTAGATAATCGTCAATTATTCGGAGTAGGTACTTCGGAATGCCGAAATTACGTTCGAGCGCTTCCCTTGCCAAGTCCCACCTGACGGAGTTGAAGGCATTTCTCACGTCTAAGGTAGCCAGCAGGCACAGAGGTCGAGTTCGATGATTGCCTCGATCCATCATTTTAGCGGCCGTGACCACCTCCAGGACTGAGTGGATGGTGGAGAGGCCGGATCGGAATCCGTACTGGCGGCCGGCAAGATCCCCCGCTGCCTTCACGGCTGCACGCAGCCTTGGCCTTATCAGCTTCTCCAGGAGTTTTCCAGCCGTATCGAACATACAAATAGGCCTGTAGGATGAAGCTGCTCCTACTGGACCCTTTCCCTTGCTAATGAGCACAATCCTCGCTTTCTTTCATGGAGCGGGAAAGATGCCCCCCCTGAAGCACGTGTTATACATGTTCAGCAATAGCTCAGGGTGACTTTGCGCGACGACTTTAATTATTTCTGCTGGAAGTTCGTCTGGACCTGGAGCTTTCTTGTTCTGTATAGATGATGCGGCCCTGAGTAGCTCTTCTTCCGTGAATTGCGGTACCTCGCTTATTCCGGGCGCATCTAAGCTGATGTCTCTCTTCGGTTGTGGGGGGAATAGAGTATGCACGATGTGATACAACGTCCTCGCGTTCTGAGGGATCCCTTGCGTGTTAGTCTCCATCTTGGGAGTGACGATGAGATACCCTAATCCCCACGGATTCTGGTCGACATCCAGGCACAGCTCCTTCCAGCACCGTTGTTGACTGGCCATGATGGTCCTCTACAGCGCTTTCTTGGCCGCTTGATAGTCTGCACCCAAAGGAGCAGCGTCGTGGTCGCGTCTCTTCGCTCGTTGTGCTAAACAGCGTAGCCTTAAGCTCTTCTTACGAAGATCTGCGATCTCGTTCGTCCACCAGTATACAGGGCGTCTCTGCCGTTTCGTGCCATTCTTTGGCACCGCTATCGCGCAAGCCTTTTGGATGAGCTGCATGGTTGCTGCGCCAATCAACCTGCCTTGTGCGGTTGGCGATAGACTCGCGGAAGTACTTTGTTGGGATCTTCATCCTTCCTCTATGACGGAGGACAGCCTCTCTCGATCCATTCTTGCAATGTTCCACCGGGGGGGTCGCTTTACACTTGTCACGGCTGGCCTCCTATCATGTACATCGAATAGGATGTACTGATGGTCGCTCCCGGTATAATCCTCGATCACCTGCCTACCTGCGACTTTTGCCACAAGGTGTTCGTTGGCTAGAGAGACATCCGGGATCGTCACTCTGTAGCCAGGCCTGCGGGAGGTTGACATCGAACCTGTGTTGAGTACTGATAGCTCCAGTCTCGACGCCACCTCCATAATACGTCTTCCTCTGGGGTCCGGCCTAGCCTACCCCCATTCGAGAGCTTTGGCATTGAGGTCTCCAGCCACAATGAGATCCCCTTGCATTTCCCGCAGCGCGTCTTCCAGATCGTCCAGTTTGATCTGGATGTCGTCTATCCGGTCGTTCGGAGTGAGATATACACTGACATATGTCGTCGAGTTATGTCTCACCGAAACGTAACCGTGTCCGGATCCTTGGTCCGTCACATGTATTAGTCGGGGATCTGGGATCCAGATGGTCGCGGTGCCCAATTCGTCTGCGAACCTTCCTACTCCTGCTCTGTCCTGGTACTGTTCGCTGATTAGAACAATATCAGCTTTTTTCTCAAAGCAAAGCTGGGCTAGAAGGTGATGCGCCGTCCTGCTCCTATTCAGGTTACCCTGAAGTACTCTCATCCTTTTTTTTTCTTTTTTTTTTTTACTTCTTTGCTGTTGCAAGGGCCTCCTGGAAAGCTTTGCAGGCCCTTGACCCCGCCAGGTGCTTCTTAGTTTCAACATCGCTCTTCGAGCACAAGAAGCAAGTAGGCTCGCTGACCTTGCACTCTTTGATCTTGTGCCCCGTGCTGCTACAATAATAGCAAACCTTACTGCGATCAGGTCCCTTGCACGAGGCACTATAGTGACCATAGTCGAGACAGCGGAAGCATCGCCCTACTTCTGCCCTTCGCCTGACCCTGCAGCTGATGAAACCAATCAGCACTCGCCCGGCCATTAAATGCTGCGCAGCTGCTTCCTCTTCTATTTTGACGAGGTCCAGGCGTTGTTGTCTAGCGTTGGGGTTCGTCATCTTAATTTCGATTTTCCCCGCGTAGCCTGGCAGGTTCCTCTTTAGGGCCTCCTCGACTTCTATCGACGAAGTGCAGCAGTCACAGTCCTGTATCTCCAGTGTAGCTCTAGGGACCAGTTCCGTGATGCTGCTCATTTCTCCTACCTCTTTTTTCAGGGTTTCCGCGAATGAGGCCTTGATATCCACGGTGGTCTTCATCAGTTCGAGGAGAATCCCTCCGGTTCTACTCTGCCGGACCGATCTAATATCTACCCCTGTGGCGCTGTTCTTGAAGCGCTGGTGGTTGACTCCGACTACGTCTGCCTAAGATTTTCCTTGCGCAGGTTTCAGGAGGATTGCGTCCGGCCTAGTTCTCTTTCTCGGCCTATCCTCCGATTTGCTCGGCTTCTTTTTCTCCTGATGTAGGTGTTTTGTCGCCTTCGTCCCTGGTTTCTCATTATTTCTTTTCTTCTTCACGACCTCCGTCCACTTGGTGGATTCACTCGTCGTCGCCTCTTGCCTCGGTCTTTTGAGGGTTTCTTCAGACAACTGCGGCGAGCTTGAGGCTACTCTCTTAACTGCGCTGGCCTCAGTCGTAGAATTTGCCCGAGGGCTCTGTGAAACTCGGGTGAGGATCCTTGATTCCTTATTGCCCTTTTCTCGAGATTTGTACATGTACTCGAGATTGTCTATGATGTCTTCCAGTTCTGGGATCCCTTGCTTAATCTCCTTGTTTACGTTTGGCTGTCTAGTAATAGCCAGCTTCATTTTGGCAAGGAGTAATATCGCATGCGCGAGTTTCTCTCTCTCTATTTTGTGGTGTCCCATTCGCAGGCTGAGAGCGTACGTTTTTGTCGCCTTGAGTAGCGATGTTATTTCCAGATGGTTCTGGGGTGTTTTGTTGTTTATAGTCTATTTCGTTTTGTGTGTTTAGTTTCTCTTTTGTGCTTTGTTTTTCCATGTGTTCAAAATTCATCATCCAGAGTGCCTGGCTATCTCCGAACGCCTTGTCTCCGGAAGTGGGGGGGTGATCACCCTCTCAACTACCCCCATTGTTGCGAGAGCTTTTGGCTATAAGGTCGGGAATAAAGCATCAGCCCTTACCTTCACCTACTTCCTTCATCGGCTTCCTGACACTCCCATGGGTGCGATGCGTTAACGCCGGGAGTTTTCTACGAGAACCGCACTTTACGTATCATACCGCACATCCCTTTCGGCCAGCGTTAGCCTACCCGCTAGTCCTCGTGGTCCTGCCATAACCCTGGCTTGGGGCCCTTACAGGGTGCTGTCATCCGGGCCAGATGAGCCCTGGTTTTTTTCTTTTGAGCGGTTGTACTCCTCGTATCAGGGGGACCGACGGCGCTAGTCGTCGGTAGAAGAGAAATGCTCCTCTTCTCCCCTTGGTGGATTATTATTAATAGGTGGAATTTGCCGAGTTCCGTCCATACAGCCATGATCGCAACCGCGTTCCAAAAATTGAAGCATAGGATATATAAACCCCACAGTTGATTGTCGCTTCAGTTTATTTTATTTTCCTTCTGATCGAAGCGCCTCCTATGCCCTGCAAATGAGTTTATCGTCTTCCTCTGTGGTGGAATTAAGTGTCGCTTGCGCTGGTGGCGGCTCTGCCGTCGTAGTCACTAGCAGATGGCGCTGCATGAGTTCTCGGTGGGCCGTCCACACTGCCGCTCGGCCATGTAATATAGTTCGCGGAACTAACATGTCCTAGTTGGCAGCACTGGCCAATATCCGAGATGGCGTCCAATACCTCATAGATCTTGATCGACTCTACCCGCCAATCCCAGAGGGCGGCTCATCTCTAACCGTAGTGGTAGTTGTCACATGTGCTGAAGGTTGCGCTGCCATCATACCCCTGGTGTAGGTGGCGCTGAATGAGATCCCGATGGGAGGTCGAGTCTGCCTTCCATTCGTAAAATATAGTTCCCGCTACTAGCACGTAATGGCGACCAAAGTCTCGACAATCAAATCGAGCACATCTTCATCAACTACGCAATAGATGATCGATCTGTAGATCCGGTAATTATCTCCCATTGCTCCCCGCTTACAAATTCCCAAGCTAGTTATATTTCATATTTCCTAGTAATGGGAATAGATGGAGCTTGCGCTGGCGGTGGCATTACCGTCGTTGTCGATAGTAGATAGCGCAACATAAGCAAAGTCGTCGGAGGACAGTCAAGTCTGCCATTCAATCATAGAGTATAGTTCATCGGACTACCACGCACCAGATGTCAGCACTACCTATCCCCGGGATGGCGTCCAATACATCATAGAACTTGATCGACTCAATCCGCCAATCGCAGAGGGCGGCTCATCTCAAATCGAAGTAGTAATTGACACATGTGCTAAAGGTGGCGCTGCCATTGTACCCCGGAATAGGTGGCGCTGAATGAGATCTCGATGAAGTGTTTCGGATTTGCCGTCCAGCCGTAGAATATGGTATCGCAACTAACACGTAATGGCGACCAAATCCACGACAGTCCAACCGAGCACATCATCACAAACAACACATGAGATGATCCACTTCTTAACTGGATTCTAATCTCTTTATGCTCGCCGATTAGCAATTCACAAGCGAGATATGTAACATAGAGTCGATGGAATAGAATAAATTATGAAAAACCGCACGAAATGCGGGGCGCACAACGATACATCACTTCCGTATCTACGCCATAATGGAACTCCATACGCTATAATGGAACTCCCATTATTAATAATATTAATCACAATAACAGTAATAATAACGATTACAATAACAATAATAATGCAATAGCAAACATAATAATAATAACAATAATAATAACATTAACAATAACATTAATAATAATAACAATAACAAAATTAATAATAATAATAATAACAATAATAATAACAATTACAATAACAATAATAATAATAATGGCAATAACAATAATAATAATAATTATAATAACAATAATAATAATAATAACATTAACAATAATAATAATAATAACAATGACAATAGTATTAACAGTAAAAATAAAAATAATAATATCAATTACAATTACAATAATAATAACAATAACAATAATAATAACAATGTCAATAATGATGACACTAACAATAATTATAACAATAACAATAATAATAATAATACCAATGACAATAGTAATAATAATGACAATAACTATAATAATAATAATTACAATAAAGTAATAATAATAAAAACAATAATAATAATAATAACAATAACAATAATAATTATAATAATAATAACAATAACATTAATAATAATATAAAAATAATAATAATAACAAATATTAATAATGATAACAATAACAATAATAATAACAATAACAATAACAATTATTATTGTTAACAATAATAATTGTATAACAATAATATTTGTTATAATATGATATGATTTGTTATAATAATGTATAACAATAATAAATGTTATTGTTATTGTTATTATAATTGTCATAATATTATAACAATATTATATGATTATTATATAATATTAATGACAATATTAATGACAATGAATGTACTAATAATAATAAAAATAATAGTAATAATAACAATAACAAGAATTATAACAATAACAATAACAATAACAATAATAATGACAATAATAATCGTTATAATAATAACAAAAACCATACCAAAAATAATAAAAACTATAACAATAATAATAATAATAATAATAATAATAATAATAATAATAATAATAATAATAATAATAATAATAATAATAATAATAATAACCATAATAATAAAAATAACAATAACAATAATAATAATAAGAATAATAACAATAACAATAATAATAACAATAACAATCATAATATAAATAACAATAACCACAACAAACATGAATGTAACAACAGCAAAAATAATATTAATAGCAATCAGAATAATAATAGAAATAGAAATAGTAATAAAATTAATAACAATAAGAATAACAATATTAATAACAATAACAATAATAATAATAATAATAATAATTATAATAATGACAATAATAATAAAAACCACAATAACAATCATAATAACAATAACAACAATAATAATAATAACAAAAACAATAATAATAACTAAAACAATAATAATAATATGAACAATAATAATAACAATAACTATAACTATAATTGTACCAGTAATAATAACAACAATATAAATAATAACGAATAAATAATAAATATAATAAAAATAACGATAATAATTATGTTAACAATAGCAATATGAATAGTAATAACAATGATAGTATTAATAATAATATCTATAGCAATAATCATAATAATAACAATAGCAATAATAATAATAATAACAATAATAATAACAATAATATTAGCAATAGCAATAATCATAATAATAACAATAACAGTAATAATAATAATAATAATAACAATAATAATAGCAATAACAATAACAATAATAATAATAGTATCAATAACAATTACAATAATAATAAGAAAAACATTTACAATCATAAATATAGTAAAAGTAGCAAAAATAATAAAAATAACAATAATAATAATAATAAAAATAGCAATAATGATATCAATATATATAACAAAAATATTATTAATAACAATCACAATAATTATAATAATAACAACAATTATTACAATAAAAATAACAATAATAATAATAATAACAATACCAATAATAATAATATGAACAATTATTAGAATATTAATAATAACGATAACAATAATAATAATAGTGGCAATAACAATAACAATAACAATTACAATAACAATAACAACAAAAATTACAATAACAATAAAAATAACAATAATAATAAAAATAACAATAACATCAATATTAATAATAACGATAACAATAATAATAATAATAAAAATAAAAATAACGATAATAATAGCATTAACAATAATGATAATAATAACAATAACTATAAAAATAACGAACACAATAATAATAAAATAACAATAACAATAACAATAATAATAATAATGACAATAACAATAATATTAATAACAATATCAATAATAGCAACAAATCAATAATGATAACAATTAGAATAATAATAATAATAATAATAACAATAGCAATATTAAAAACAATAATAACAATTACAATAATTATACATAAAAGATATGATTAATAATAATAATAACTATAACAATAACAATAAAAATAATTTTAATAAGAATAAGAATATTAATTACAATTACAATAATAATAATATTAATTAGAATAACAATAATAATAAG